TCACATTTGTCTTCAGCAAGCCTTTTACATCTAAGCGGTTTCTCCTCTGCCTTTGTGATTTCATGACTGCCTTCCCCTCCCCTCTCCTCTGGGCCTCAGATCCCTGGTGGTAACTAATGAGTATCTGCTGCAGCAGCTGAATAAAGAGCAAAAAGGTTATTCTGGGAAAGCGCTCCTGCCTCCTGAAAAAGGCCATCATTTGGGAAGATCTTCGCCCTTTGGGAAAAGCATGTTGTCTTCCTCCTCACCAGTGGCACATGACACCGGTCAGTATCTGATACAGAGTGTCTCAGAGGCTGCCCCAGAGCCCAGTTTATGGAGTTAGCATGGAACGCCTACATTGCAGCTTCCTCGTCCGTGGAGATTCTCAGCGCCATTGCCACCAGTGTGGTGGTATTTACTCACAACCATTAAGAAATAAATGTATTCTGCTTGCATTGTATTGGCCTTTTTATTTCTGTATCTTCTCCTATCGAGTCATTCTTTCCTTCTGCCCACAGAAATAGTTGGCACTTAGTCCTAGGCATTGTATCACACAGAGACATTTGGCTGAAAATGCCAAAAAGGAAAAAACAGTAGACATTTTCCCTCATGTCATTTGAAACTGTGTGATAGAAGGTTTAAAAAGAGCATCCATCAGATGTCTTCTGTGTTAGGAGAAATGTTAGAGAATCTATATTTGATTCATCAAACATGTTTTGAGTTTCCTTCCGCCATGGCCAAGCAGTGACAACGTCTGGTGTCTGCCCAAGAGTAGCCAACAATTTAGTCAGAGAGAAAAGCAAAAATGCATATGTTGGAGATCAAAGCTTGGAATTTGTACCAAACAGGTCTAAACAAAAGCCTGAAGATGCCCTGAAGAGAGAGAAAGAATAATGGCCACAGTGGGAACTGGAGAAGCCTCAGCGAGAACTTGAGTGGAAACTACAGAATGAGTAGGGGGGTAGCAGGTTAGGGGATTGCAGAGCATCCCTGACCACGAGTGCAGAGAGGAGTCTAGCACCCCATAGGGACAGCAGGGTGAGAACAGAAGTGTGGGACATGGAAGAGGTGTGATGTCAGGAAAATACCCCCAGAGCAAACGATCTTTCAACTGAGACCTGAGAAAGAACAGAAGGTTATGGGCAAAGCATAGGGCGAGAGCGAGGGCAAGAGAGGTGGGGAAGAGCTGCAGAGAGAAGCAGCGACAGCCAAGGCCATGAAACGGGAAGGTGCGTGGTCCCTTCTGGGAAATGGGGCTGGGAGGAGGTAAACAGGAATTGCACAACTCCTTGAAGATTTTAGATTGAGAGGCAGAGGAGTGATGGATTTGTGTTTGAGACACTTTCTCTGTGAGAAGAACAGGCAGTGCAGAGTGGGGAGGACTGAAGCACCTTGACAGCTTGAGGGGAGGCATGCAGGCCAGATAGATAAATAGCTTCAGGATATGTTAGCTTTGGGCTCAGCATCCAATTACATGCGGGCACCATACTTCCTTTAATCCTGATTGGCTGGGCATTTTAAAAACCAATGGGGCTGGGGACAGTGGCTCAAGCCTATAATTCCGGCACAATGGGAGGCAGAGGCGAGAAGATTGCCTGAGTCCAGGGGTTTGAGGCCAGCCTGGGCAACTTGGCAATACTGGTTTCTACAGAAAAATTAACCAGGCATAGTGTCACATGCTTGTGGTTCCAGCTACTTGGAAGGCTGAGGCAGAAGGATCGCCTGAGCCCAGTAGGTCGAGGCTGCGGTGGCCATGAGTGTGACACTGCATTCCAGCCTGGGCAACAGAGTGAGACTTCTACTCAAAACAAACAAAACAAAACAATGGGGAATGACAACGCAATTGGTTCTAGGTATATTTCTGCTTCAGCAGTCTTCCAGAGGGCTAACACTGCCAGAGATTGTGTGGAGGGCAAAAGACTGTCAACCTGGTGCCACACTGTCCTTTCTACCCTCAGGGCCACATCAGAGAAAGAGGTAGGCGAATATTATGTGCTCCCTGATTCAGGTGCTGTGCAGGGAAGGAGAGCTGTTGCCATCTTAATGAGACATGACAGTCATATGTTTCTAAGTCATAAAACCTACAGCCCTTTGGATTTTATGTGGCTTCCCAAAAAGAGCCTGTACAGAGGACCCATAAATTGCTTTGAGTTGCGAAACTCTGAGGGAGCTGGAGGGAGTGCGTGCTCTGTGGAAATAGCAAGAACAACAACCTCCCTGTGCTCTCCCCTGCCACATTTCTGGGCCTGTCTTTGTCCTACTGAGAGACTTCCAAAAAGTCTAAAACCTAGGCTGCGCACGGTGGCTCAAGCCTGTAATCCCAGCACTTTGGAGGCCGAGATGAGAGGATTGCCTGAGCTCAGGGGTTTGAGACCAGCCTGGGCAGCTTGGCGAGGCCTCGTCTCTACAATAAATCAAAAATAAAAATAAAAATAAGCCAGGTGCGGTAGTGCACACCTATAGTTCCAGCTACTTGGAAGGCTGAGGCAGAGGATTGTCTGAGCACAGCAGACCGAGACTGCAGTGACCGCAAGTGTGCCACTGCACTTCAGCCTGGGCGACAGAGTGAGATTTCAACTCAGAAAAAAAAAAAAAGTCTAAGTCTTGCCCAGGTAAGGGAGCCTTGGCCAGTGACCTTGTAATCCTGAGTTATTTCAGGGTCCCAGCCCAGTGCACAGGCCAGCTTACTGGACAGACCAACTATGGGGAATAATGCCCTTCTTTCTACAATTCTAGCTCCTTATGCCTCCCTCTGTGAATGTCTGATCATGCCAGCCCCAGAACCTGCCCAGGGCACCTCCAGGGAGGAACAGAGCCTGACCCACACTGAGCCCCCTTTCACCTTATTTTCTGTTTTCCCTGAAAGAGGCTGACCCTACCCCAGGCCAGGCACCTCTCTAGAGTTGCTGGCCATGCCTGGGGTTGTTGTCTGTGTTGCTCATTTTCCTTGTGTGGCTCTTGGTCCAGAAGGCAGTGCTAAAGAGGCTAACTGGAATCAACATGGAGAGTAGAAGTCCTTGAGACCAATAGAAAACAAGTAGAGAAGAATTCTTCATGCTGAGCCTGGCACTATAAGGAGAAAAAAGAAAACAGGTCTGAGATGGAGACTGGTCCTCAGGGAAGTTTGGAGCCCAGAGGGAGAGACAGGGCATTCTCATGGGTTTGAATTTCCCCCAGTTGTACAGGGGGTTTTGAATGGCCATGTCCCACAGATCCTAACTCTTCCTCGTCTAACCTGGCTTTGCTAGCAAGGTACCCAAAGCCTCCAACCACAAGGAAGCTGTCAGGGAGAAGTGGTGATAACATCAACAGTGGCATTGTCGGGCAGTGGCTGCCATGTTCTTCTGCTAGACCTGTCTGGTCTTGAAGGGTCTTCTGACTCTGAGTGGGCCTTGATTTCCCTTAGGCGCCATAACTGCATTTCAAGAAGAGGGGGTTTTGATCCTAAAAAGTGGAATTTGAGAGCTCAAACAGTTCTCACCCCGGTTCCTCCAAACCACACTGCCAGTCTCAGAAATGGACAGGCCGCTGCTCCCACCTACACATTGAGTAGGACTGTCACCTGCAGTTTGATAGCTGAGAGCTAGGCCCAATTTGGAATACAATTAAATTAGTTTCACTATGAGGAGACTTTAGTAAGTGAAAGCCAGAAGCATTTGGGTTCCGCCCCTATGATGCTCACTTAAGTAAAACTTGCAATTCTGATTCTCCAAGGCTGGAGGAGTCACTCTTCTTGATATATGCTGGTGGGAGAGGTAGAGTTCTCTAAAGCTCTTCCCTGGGTAGAACCAGGAGATGTGGTCAGTTGGGTCAGGAGGAGCCCACACTGTCAGTTGTCAGGCAAGGCTTTGCTGTGGCCAGGTGCTGATCTGCCACTAGCTAATTCCCACCTGACCTCCCCAGTGTCTCTGTCCCTAGTCACACTATTCCTCTACATCCCATCCTCAAATGAAGTTGGGCTCAAGGAATTTGGGACCACCTGGGCATAAACATCCTATAATAGCCTGCATGATGAAAGAATTAAACAATTGTGCTGCTTTGCTTTGTTACCTGGGTCAGGAAAGGTGAGTACTTGCAAACATGTGCCTTTTAAGACTTTTCTAGCACCCTTGGGAGCCATCCTCTCCTGGGTAGGCCCTAAGCTGCATCCAGACCTTATGCCACAGCAGAAAAGAAAGAGAGGCAGCCCCAAAGCCTTGGGCTTGGGAATAGCTCTGACCTAACACCCAGAGCCTTAGTAGAAAATTATCTGTAAATGTCCAGGAGTCCTCAGGACAGAGAGGCCCCTTCCCTCCCTACCTGGGATGTTGAACAGATGGGAAGAAATCAGTAAGCAGAGGCCCCTTCACCTGGGATGCCCTGCCCCCCACCACAGGCTGGCCATCCAGTCCCAATTTTGGAAATCAGTGCTGGGGCTTTCTGTGCTAGAAAGAGCTTGGCCTGGGAGGCAAGAGGCATGGTCTGGTCTCTAGTCTGCAGAAGTCCCTCCAGTCTCTGGGCCTGTTTCTTCATCAATAAAATTAGAGCGTCAGACTGTCTACTCTCTAAGGTTCCTCCTGGTCCTGCGTTTTCTGATACCTTGAGCTGAAGCCCCAAATGACTTGCCTTGGGAACCCCCGATAGCAGACTGAGAGCCAAAGCCTGGCTCTGGAGCCTCTGCCAAGGCTTGGCCCAGGCCAAGTCTGCTGTCTCATCCCTACCCCTGTGTGGAAGTGGAGAGGGAGCCGAATCTCCGTCCTGAGGCATTAATAGCCGGAAGGCAAGCTATGATGTTAGGACCCTGGGTCAGGGCCGAGTTAAAAGGTTTTGGATTTTCCTAAGGAGAATCCTCTGGCAGAACGACTTTGTGTTGATAGAAGGGGACTCGTGTGTTCCCTTTTCTGGGCAGGCTGCCCGTAGAAGGGGAGAGACCAGCAGGGTGTGGCATGCAGAGGGGCGATGACACTGAGGGGGTCACTGGGGTGTGAATGTCATTACCCCGCCCCTGTCCCCTGTCATCATACACCCAACCAGGCCACACTGGTACAAAAGGTGTCTTTATTGAGGTCTGGGTTAGAATTAGGCACTTGGCCAGAGCAGCAGCTTAAATATGAGGCAAGCAGGCAGGGGTTAGCCATGCCCAGGGCTGGGTTGGAGTGGTGAGGCTGCAGGGACAGGCACAGGCTATCCCCAGAGGTACAGAAGTTGGGGCAGGAAGAAGAGGAGGAAGGGGACGCAGAGCAGTCTGGGTCAGAGGCCTGGTGGGCTGGCCCCGCAGGGCTAGGCAGGAAGCTCTGAGTGGCAGGTCCAGCAGGGAGGGGTTTGGGCTCTCTGGCTCCACGTGCCCCTTAGGCCCAGGCCTGAGCCTCCGGGCAGCCACGCTCGGGCAGCCACACTCGGGGGGCCTTCCCAAGCCTCACTTCTTCACCTTGGCATCATAGGTGCCTGCATTCTTGTAGGCACTCACGTAGCCACTGTCATCCAGGATGTCTTGTCGTCCGGCGATGCCCTTGCCCTTGCCACTCTCATCGAAGCGCTCCTTGTGGGAGCCGGTGTACTTGCTGGTGTCAGTCAGCCGGTCCACAGCACCCCCCGTTCTTGCTTTCTGTTTGGACAGAGTTCCCCCAGGGGCACCGGTGAGGGATCCCACCCTTCCCACCTGCAGCTGATTCCCCACTCCCCCCCTCAGTGGCCACCCAAGACCAGCGGGCTCTTACAGTGACGCCCACGTTGGCTGGCTCCTTGCCGGCCACCAGCTGGCAGATGGCATCAAAGGCCTCCTCCTTGCTCTTCCCCTTGAATCGCTTGGCCGCCAGCTCTTCCAGGGCCTTCTTAAACTCCTCATAGTTGATGACCCGAGCAGATTTCCCCCTGCCAAGCACGTGGGCACCGTGAGTACTGTTCCCTCTTCTTTTTCCCCCCCAGGGGGAAGCAGGAACACAGTCCCCCACTGCCGTCAGTGATGCAGTCGAGCTTCTTCCCACATTTGGGGAAATCGCAGGGGTCAGCGTATCTGGATGCACCAGATGAGCCTTGCCCTGGAATAGCTCCCTTCGTGGTCATGGTGTTTCCCCAGCTCCCTCTCGATGTCCTCCCCGCTTCCAGCGCCCCAATTCCCCACCTTGCAACCCGAGAAGCAAGGGCCGCCTGGGGCTCACTTGACTTTGGAGAAGACGATGTCCACGTCGGTCCCTGTCACGGCCTTCCCGTCAGCCACCTTGCAGTCCTTGCACAGCTTGGCCCAGTTCTTGCCGTTCATCTCTTGCCCGCTGGCCTTGGGATCGCCGTGGACGGCAAACTTGCGGAAGCTCTCCTCCAGCCCGGCGACGTCTGTGTTCGCTGCCATGCCACCCTGAAAGGACCCACCTCAGTCACCTCCCAGCCAAGCTGCCCCTCCCACGGGTGCAGAACATCCCCGCCTCTACTGCTCAGCCTCCAAGGTCTGAGCTGGCAGCACTTGCCACAGACCCTCAGAGTTGGGACTGGAGCTGCCCGAGGAGAAGGACCAGCGCTCAGTGTCTCCCTGGGATCCAGAGCCCCAAGGAAGAACCACGAGAGGAAGGGTCCCGTTGCTTAATGCCAGTCCTGGCTCCAGGCAGGGTTCAACAGATGCAATCACGATGCCCACGCCAGACTGGGAACAGAGTGGCACTGTCCAGAAGGACAGCGAGGGCAGCAGCCGGGGCCATGGCTGTGTCTGGCCCTGGCACAAGGCCTGCTTGGGTGGAAGTGAGGGTGGCTGAGCAGGCCCCCTCCCTGGAAGCTTTATGCCATGCTGGGTCTGAGCTAGGCCAGGCTGCTGGTTGGGCGGGTACGTAGTAGGGGATAGCGTCTCTGTAAGGGTCATGAGGGCCCAGCAGGAGCCAGCCCGGGTCTGAGAAGAGAGCCAGAGCACGAGCAGGGGTGCATGCCCTAGGCAGGGGTGCAGCTGGCCCAGCTGGGGCCTTGTTACTATTTGCTGTTAAACAAAAACATGAGGGGAGCAGGAGCTTGGGGCTGGCCTGGCCACAGTTTGTGAAGCCGGGAGACAGTTGCTAAGGGAGGGTGGTGCTGCTTAGAGAATGTTGCTAAGGGCAGGATGGTGTCAGGGCGGCTCAGGGAGAAGCTCCCAGAGCTGCTGGGCTGGGCTGGGGTGGGGAACAGGGGCCCACGGGTGGGGCACGCCAGCACTCCCTGTGCCTGGGGCACAACCGTGGCTTCCTGGCTCACTGCCACTGACTGGGGCTGTAACCTCCCACTGCGGAGCTTAGGAGGAACAGGAGGCTAGGGGCTAACCCGGGCAGGGGTTGTAGGCATCCCAGGGGCATGCTAGCAAGTGGGGCTGTGGCCTTGGCCCTGGGATCCTACACTGAAGCACACTTTCTCATGTCTACACCTAAGCCCTCCACGGAGACCCCCCACCACTCCCTGAGCATGGCCACACCAGCCCACATTCCCAGGGTCCGTGTGCGCTCAGCCCCAGCCCTGCAGTCTGGGCCTTTTACACCCAGTCACACCCTCAGCCCTGCACTGCAGCCTCCTCCATCTCCACACCCCAGTCCTTGGCATCCACTTTCCACACATACACTAACAGGCCTTCACTGATACTCTCAGTAATACCCTCAGCCCTGTGCAAAAGTGCCCCCCACAGCCAAAGCCCTCCACTGCAGTCCCCTGACCACACCCTCAGTCCTGCACTGAAACTCCCTCCTCATCACACAGTCCTGTACAGAGGCCTTCCCGGCCATACCCTCAGCCCTACCCTGTGGCCTCCTCCATCCCCATGCCCACAGCCCTGGGGCTGAGACCCCCGTCCACACAGCTGCAGCCCTCCCTGAGACCCCTGCCCACAGCTCAATTGCTTGCTCTCCTCCCATACCTTTTATCAAGGCCTCCTGACCACACCCTCAGCACCCCTTTGTCCACACACTCACAGCCCTCTGACCACACCCTCAGTCCTGCACTGAAGCTCCCAGCATCACCCACACACTGCCATTGCGAGACCCCCAAGTACTATGCTGACACCCGCTGTGTGGAGAACCCCCTGACCACACCCTCAACCTCAGCGACCATCTTCTGGCTCTGCTTTTTACACTAGAGCCTCCAGCGACCAACCTGGGCCCTACCCAACTTCTTCCTCTTCCACAACCACTGGCCTTGACACTAAAAACTCCTCCCTAGGGACCACACGAATCCACCCCTAAGCTGCAGTTTCTGGGAGTGTGAGGAGCCTTGGCTCTTACGTTACAGGGGCCTCTGTGGTACCACAGCCCCAACCCACACTGCACTCCCGTTCCCTCTCCCTAGGTGCAGCCTCCCACCTGGGACTCAAAGACCTGCACTTGGTCCACCAAGGGTCATGTCCAGGGGAGCTTGGGTGCTACAGGATGCTTGTAGCACCCAAGGATCCTGTGTCCAGTGCTCACTACTGTCTGTGGAAAGATGGATTCTTGGTCATCTCAGGGCTGGTAAAATGGAGCTGGGTGGCAGGCCCCAGCCCCAGTGGCCACGCCCGTGAACTGGGGCCACCCTCCCGCTCCCGCTGGGACAGCTGGAGTCATCAATCAGCTTGACAAGGAGGTGGGGGCTGGGGGGTGGAATGCTTGGGGTCAGGGCAGGGCCGCTCAGCTTGTGTCCTTACTATCTGGGGTAGGGACCCTTTCCAGGCTGCTCCCCCCACCCGTTATCGTGCAGGATACTGATTAGAGTGGTCCGCGTCCGGGTCTCCCACGGGCTTCTACCTCGTGGCTGCTCCTGCAGCGCGCGTTCGGATGGACAGAAGGACACAGGAATGGACCGATGGACGCGGGAGGCCAGGCGGCTCCGCAGCTCCGCTCCCTGCCGGCTCCGGGGCGGGACTGCAACCCGGGCGGCTCCTCGGTATTATCCCCTGTTTCTCGGTCTCCATAGAGACGGCGAGCCCCACCCCCGAGGCTGTCTAGGCGGGAGAGTGACCAAGGTCATGCTGGCCCCGCCCACCTGACCCCGCCTTCTCCGCTCTCCGGGCTCCGCAGGGGGCGGAGCCGCTGGGACAGCCTTATCCCGCCTCTGTGGAACCAGAGGAGAGAGAGGGGAGAGAAGAGGCCAGAAGATAGATGGCCGCTGAGGCTGAGGGTGTGGTCGGGGGGGCTCTCCACACAGAGGGTATCAAGCATAGTACCTGGGGGTCGCGCAATGCCAGTGCCTTCGCGGCGGGCAGACCAGCCCTCTGCAGTCGGGACGTGCTCGGATGGCTCCCTGACAGGAAAATAGATTCCCATCCTGGGCTCTTGCCCAAAGTCCGAAGCGGGCCCCAACCTCCAGGGGAGATCCAGCCTCCCAGAGGGCCAACCTGAGGCCGTTTCGGAGCTGGAGCGCGGGAAGGGGGGGCTGGAGGAGGGGACGAAAAGGTTCCTTTCCTCAGTGACAGGCGTCCACTGTTGGCTCAAGACCATAGCTCTCCACTGAATGTGTGGCATACCCAGGCCACAACTCCTCCCAGATAGGGTCGAGTCCGGGGCACTGGGAGAGGGCGGGGACAATGAGCGAATCAGCTTGCCCAGCCCTATAATGCCGGTACTGGATCCTGTTGCGGGAGAAAGCTCCTCGGTCTCTGGGATCGGCCCCTGCTTTCACTGTCACCTCGCCTTGGCCTCGCAGGCTCTGCTCCTGCTGCCGCTTCCAGAGCCCAAAGCCTGCTTTCCCTCAGCCTCCAAGTGCAAAGTCTTCCAGAAAACCTCCTCCCCAGGTAGCCTTCCAAGCCTTTCTTAACGAGGAGCCACGGACCTGAGGGTACCTCCCGTACCTCCACATGACAACCTGGATGGCTACCTACTGTACAGGGACCCAACCCCCACCTGCCCCCAAGCCAGCTGGCAAGAGTCCGCCTCCCGGAGGGCCTATGGGGCCTTGACATTAAGAAAAACACATTTGAGCCCAGGAGTTCGAGAGCAGCCAGACAACATGGCGACACCTGTCTCTACTTTAATTTACATATGTATATACAAAAAATAAAAGTTATCTGGCGTGGTGTGCGCCTGTAGCCTCAGCTACTCAGGAGGCTGAGGCTGGAGGATGGCTTGAGCCCAGGAGTTTGAAGCTGCAGTGAGCCGTGATTGTGCACTGGCCTGGGTGACAGAGTGAGACCATGACTCAAACCAAAAAGACAGAAAGCATAAAAAAGTTTATTGGAGCATCACGGCCAGTGGGACGGGGACTGCTGAGTCGTGGGGGAGGAAGGCCGATCCCGCCGGCCGTAGGACCTCCTAAAGTGCACTCCGTGCAGCAAGGGTGGGGTGTTGCATAGAGACTTGGCCGGCCGCTCCTCCTCGACCCTCCAGCTAAGCTAGACAGACCTCCCGGTCGCTGGATGCCTCGGGTTCACCGCTGCTCGGGCTCACGAACACGGCGGGCGCATGAGCCTGCAGCGCCAGCCGGGGCTCTCGGCCCTTACCCCCCGGGACGGCCAGAGCGGTGCTGCCCAGGCGCGTCTGCGCCACTCGAATCTCGTCCATGGACTCGGCCGACGCTGAGTGGTAGGCGCAGTCAGGGCCAGCGGCGTGCACTGGGCTGGTGTCCGCGGAATCCGTCGAAGAGCTGGACCCGCGGCCGGCGGCCCCGGGCCCTGCGCAGTGAAGGGAAACGTGATACTGAGGGCTGAGACTCGCTCGGGGCCCTGCCTTCCCTCCCTCGGGGCTCTCCGTGCAGGACCCGGACAGGGACAGACGCTCACCCCGCAGCCTGGGCAGCGGGGACGCCCGGGCCAAGGTCTCAGACGTTGGCACCTTATACATACGCCGCTTCCTCTTTTTCTGCAGAGACACAGAGGAGTCTAAGGGCCCCATATCGCCAGAAGCAGCAGAGGCGTGCACTGTCCCCTCCAACCAGACAAGGAAGCCCAGCAAAGTCCCTCCTACCTGGGATCGGATCTGGGGAGGCAGAGCATGAGTGTCTGAGGAAGACAGTGGTGGAGGCTCTGCTTGGACTCGGGTGATAAAAAACCCAGAAGGACTGAGGAGAAAGCAGAAGGGTAAACCTGGGTGTGTTGCTCAAACCCCTCCCCACTGGAGGTCCTGAGAGAAGCCTTCCCTCCTAGCAGAGGAGACAAGGGCAATGATCCATCCAAGACCAGGCTAGGCTGGACCCAGACCCATGCCTTGACCTTGGCCTAACCCCTTTCTCTCACCTGGGACGGCCCTGTCATGCTACTGGGAGATACCCAGGTGACACATGCCCAGGTGGCACTCACTTGGCATTCACCGCCGCTGGCCTGGCCTGGCCCGAGGGTTCTGGGCGCACATGGCTGAGGGTCCGCATATAGAACTCCATCTCCTGGGAAGGTGAGGTTCAGGAAGGCTGGAAGGCCAGGTGTAGACCAGGGCCTGCTGAGTCCTGAGTCCACCCAGTCCTGAACACAACCCACCCTCACTGACCTCTGCGGAATGTTGCAGGCCTCATCCTGGGGGTCTCACCCTGGGGTCTAGGGCTGCCTTCCTGGTTCCCAGCTGTGCTAGGAAAACCCTTCTGCAGGGTAAGACGTATAACACACAGCTGGGCTCGGTGGCTCAGCCTATAATCCCGCACTTTGGGAGCCCCAGGTGAGTGAATTGCCTGAGCCCGCAGGTTTGCAACCAGCCTGGGCAACTTGGCAAGACCTCATCTCTACAATAAATCAAAAAATTAGCCAGGCGTGGTAGCGCATGCCTGTAGTTCCAGCTACTTGGAAGGCTGAGGCGCAAGGATCACCGGAGCCCAGCAGGTCGAGGCTGAGGTGGCCGGAAGCGGCCACTGCACTCCAGTCTGGGTGACAGAGTGAGACTCCAAATCAAAAAAAAAAAAAAAAACTCACACATTTCTGGACCTTAACCCATTCCCAGATCCTCACTTCATCTAGTCAAACCCCACCTCCTCCAGGAAGTTTCCGGCCTGCTCAACCCAGGAAGGTGGTGGGGATGTTCACAGCTGCCCTTTCCTACTCCCGGCCCCTCCCAGGGTTCCAGCCTCTGAACTGATATTTTTCCCTTGGCTAAGAGTTCACAGGCCACAGTATGCACCTGAGGTTGTGGGCAGAGCTGAGTTGTGGGTGTACCCCTCACCTCCATAGAGTACCAGTCACAATCTCAGTTGCTGAGAAGTGTGTGTGTATGTGTGTGTATACACACGGTCTACCCTGCCCCACCCAGAAAGGGAAGGCAGAAAGTAGTGGAACAGCACCGCAGCTCCACCCGGCACCATGGTTAGGGGCCAGGTGTGTGTTTGTGTGTGTGTCTCTCTTTTGTAGAGATGGGGTATCGCTATGTGGCCAGGCTGGTCTCGAACTCCTGGGTTCAAGTGAGCCTCCTGTCTGGACCTCTCAAAGCGCTGAGATTACAAGCGTGAGCCACCACACCTGGGCATGAGTTGTGTGTCTTGCTTAGTTGCTGATCCTCACAGAGACTCCGGGAGCAGCAGACGCGACTCCCGAAAGAGAATCGGCCTTGAGGTCTCAGGAACAACCTAGGTCTGCACCCCAGCCCGCAGGACACGCCCCAGCAACGCCCTCTAGGACTGCAGGTGAGGAAACAAAAGCCAAGGGAAAGCCAGCCCGGGAAGGGTGTGGTGCAGGGATGTGGGCGGGGCCGGCGCTGGAGCGGGGCGGGGAGCACCCGGACAGCTGTCGCCGCTTTGCAGCTGTTTCCATGGAGACCGAGGCGTCCTGACTAATGCAGAGAGGACACTGTAACAGCAACGCCGTCTCTAAAACAAGCCTCTGTTTGGGGGACAACGGCTCCAGAGAGGGGCCCCTCCCGCATTCCTGCTGGGGTGGGGGTGGGGAGGCTGCCTGCAGGGACCCTGGCAGATCTGGGGATAGAGCCTAGCCGGCTGGCCTGTATCCAACCTCTGCCCAGGTTGACCCTTTGAGGAGGTGTGTAGGGGTGGCTGCCAGACACGGGATGTGGGACCTCAAGGAAACTCTCCCATGTCTTTTTTTCTTCCCCAGTGTGGACTCAGCACCCTTCCTGGACCCAGTAGAGAGGGGCAAAGCCTATCCTGGAACCCCTGGGCTCCAGAGGGTGGGCAGAGGGGACAGCAGTTGAGGGTGGTCTCAGAAGCCTGAGGGGCCAGGATAGGACAGGAGCCAGGCCCTAGCTGGCTGGCGAAGTCTGAGAATGTCAGGGGGGTCTCCAGTCAGAGTCCACTTCTCTTATCACAGCCGTCCCTAGGATGTGTCCTTGGAGACCCTCAAAGATTTGCACATTCGTGAGTGTACTGAGGCACCACTCCGCCTCAGCTCTCTCTGTAAGAAGAGACAAGCACACCACTCCTATCCCCTGGGAGGCCTCCCTCAAGTCACTGTAGATGGACAGAACAGAAGTCAAATGTCCTTGCTGCTGCCACATTTGGTCCCAAAGCCTAGGCGGGGCAAGGGCACAGAGTCCTGGGTCTAGGCATCCCAGGGCCAGCCCTGCCTCAGTGAGAGCCGTGAAGCTTGAGAAAGTCCTCTGCCTACTTTTCTGAGCCTCAGTCGCCTCTGTGATGTGGGGGTGGGGATGATGCTCACTCCCCAGGACAGGTATATGGTGGTGTGCAGGGGGTCTTCACCAACAGCTAGCACGCCCCAGGCCCAGGCCTGCCCAGTGGCGCCAGCCTGGCCCATGGGCAGGATCCAGCCCTGGTGCCAAGAACAGGGGAGGTGGGGTCCTGAACCCTCCCCTATCCGCCCACCAGCCTGTGTTTGTGTCCAGTTGCCATGAGGACTCAGGATCCAGGGTTCATCCTTGCTAGCAGAGCCTGCCTGGGCCCCCTGCCTTTCCAGCCCCTAGGGGCTTTAAGGACTGGACTACCCCCACCCCCAGCTGCTGACCTCAGGAAGCCACAGGGCGTGGGAATTGGGATCTGGTCAGCAGCTGGGCTGGCCAGGCTGGAGCCTAGGCTGGAGGGTTCCTGCTTCAGAGTGTGGAGACCTTAACTCTTCCCAGCCTCAGCTCCTATTGAACCTTCCTAGGCCTCAATATGCTTATCTGCAACATGGGCATGGTAACAGTACTTGCTCATGGGCTGCTTTTTTTTTTTTTTTTTTTGAGTTGGAGTCTCATTCTGTCACCCAGGCTGGAGTGCAGTGGTGGCATGCTCACAGGCACCCCAGCATCAACCTGCTGGGCTCCAGCGATCCTTCCACCTCAGCCTTCCAAGTAGCCAAACTATAGGCGTGCGCTACCACACCTGGCTAATTTTTTATTTGTTGTAGAGATGAAGTCTCGCCAAGTTGCCCAGGCTGGTCTCGAACCCGCGGGCTCAGGTAATCCACTGTCTCGGCCTCCCAAGGTGCTGGGATTACAGGCTGAGCCAGCAAGCCCAGCCTCATGAGCTGTTCTAAGCATAAAACAGGATGATGAGTATAAGGGCTCAAGGTCACAGAGGGGAAGGACTGACAGTTCCATCCCGGCCATCCAGTCACTGACTTGGTCACTGGTGCATCCTTCTCTCTTCCCCTGCAGCCCAAACCTACACCCTCCAGCACATGGTTTGAGCCTGGGCAGGCATGTACATGGGGTTGGAGAAATGCAGGGCTTTCTTGGGTTGTGCCCACACTTGAGCAAGTGGCATGTACTCAGCACAGGCCTGGTCCCGGCAATTCCTTCTAGCAGCTGTTCCAGGCTTGCTTCCCTTGTCCTGTCTTCTCTGGCTGCTCACTGCACAGTCCACCACCCCCTACATCCAGACGCCCACCCCTCAGCCCTCCAGGCCACCTCTATACCTGAATGGGCCGCATCTTGGGGGGACACGACTTGAGCTCCCTGTGAGCCCCCTTTGCCTCCTGTGGTGGGCGGCGCTGCACGATGTACTCATAGGTGGTGAGCTTGTGCCACACTGGTGAGGGGGAGGAGAGGGCTCAGTGCAGTGGAGCTCAGAAGAAGGCGGAGGGCACCCAGCCCCAGGCTGAAACCAGTGTCCCCAAATACACTCATGGGATGAGACCAGGCACCACAGAGAGCCAGCACTGGGAAGGGGTATGGTTTCAGGGCTTTACAGCCCAACTGGCATGTCCCTGCAGTCTAGGGACCCCTATCCCCTGTGAGATGGGTGGGACAGGGAAGCACTTACTGAGATAAATATGGAAGCAGAACAGGTGGCCCAGCAGGGCTGTGGAGAGCAGGCCCAGAAGGATGAGTAGGGCAGCCAGGGCCAGGATGGCAGGAGCTTGGGTCTCCACAGGTGCGGCAGGCAGGAACACGAACCACACATCTGTGTGATTCTTCAGGACTGCAAGGCACAGGCAGTGTGCTCAGCCCAGGGGATGTAGCAGTGGCAGGAACAGGCCAAGGGGGGATGGGGTGAATGAGCCTGGAGTCCAAACTGACCTTCGAAGTGTTGGTTGGTGCGCAGTCGCATGGGGTTGACAAAGAACTCCACGAAGACGTAAGTGGCCACCAGTACCAGAAGCAGGACACCCAGTAAAGCGGATGCTACACTGTGTAGAAAGAGCCTGGGCCCAGCCATGGGCAGTTGTCAGCACCGGGTGCTCCAGCTTGGTAAGGCCCACAGCTCAGAAGGTTGCTAGCCTCTGACCCCACAGTCCCAACTCCTCAGATACCGAAGGCATAAAGCAAAACTGAAGATGGAGGCCACCCCATCAGGCGCCCATCGTTCTCTGGGCCAGAAAGGTGGACGACCCCAAATCCACCCTGGGCCATCCCAGCCGGCACTCCCAGATGCACACAGGCGCCCAGGTCCTCGAAGCACCCCCATCCCCTCCCCGCCTCCCATGCGGGCTGCAGGTCCCTGGCTCCCACCCCCAGACGAGCGCGTCCCCAGTCCGCTCTCACCGGTAGTTCCGCTCGCCCACGCAGTTGTTGAGCCACTTGCAGTGGTGGTCGAAGCCGCACACGCACTTGTTGCAGGCGCTGCAGTGCTTGGAGCGAGCACTCCTGCGTGGGGAGGGGGCACAGTGCGGTCGGCCGGCTCATTCCACCCTCGGCGGCCACGCCTGCTACTGCGGGTGAGTGGGCAGGGGACCGTGGAGGGACCAAGCACCAGGCCTGAGACCGCGTTACAGTCTAGGCGCCTCCACAAGGCAGCGGAGGAGCGCGCGCGCCCTCTGCAGGGACTACGGGGTGGGGCCCTGGAGGAGTCGGTGCTCCATAGAGCTGAGGGATCCCGGAGTAGGGGGTGCGTTGTGGTGTCCTGTTCCGGGACTATGCACCTAAGTGATGGCAATATGAAGCGGAAGGGGGCTCCTTTCCAAGCTCCTGCGACAAGCAGAAGATGCAGGTGTGGGCCAGGGAGCTGTGGAGAGCAAGGCCTCCATGTGTGGGACCCCAGCTTCCCTGCCATTCTATGAGGATTTTACCAGCATTCTTCCAGAAGATGTCAGCCTATGTAGGCTAATCAAAAGGGGGCTGACAGGAGCAAGCTGCCATCCGGGTAGGCGGTAAGGCAGCTCACCACAGGAGTCAAATGAGAGACTCCCAATCCGGGGATGCACCAGGGAAGGCTCAAAGGAGTGTGGAAGGGGCACGATCTCCTCCCCCAAAACAGGGCAGAGCCCTGCAATAGACAGCAATTAGCAGAGCTGCCAAAGTGTGCAGACTTGTGCCTGTGAATGACAGGTTGGCCTCATGCCCAAGTCCTTAGTGCCTCAATGCTGTGGGCTTTCTTATTCTTGTGGACAGACCCCCTTCGACAGGCAGCCTGGGTCTTCAGAAGTGTGGTGCTGGCCCTGGACCAACCCCCATCCCTGATCCCCCACCTGAGGCAAGGAGCCTGGGATGCTCCAGAGGTGCGGAAAGGGGCCCTTAGAGAGGCAGCCGGGGCCCAGCCAAGGGGCTACAGGAGCTCCACATTATAACTCCTCTCCTCACTAGCAGTGTGATCTGGAGCAAGTCACTTGGCCTCTCTGGGCCTCAGATTCCTCACAGGTAAATGAGGGTAACAGTATCTGCTTTGAAGCCAGGGAGCTAGGGTTGTGAATCTGGCTCTGCTGTCCATAGCTGTATGACTTCAGGCAAGCCTCTGAGCCTTTCTGAGCACTGGGCTCTTTCTCCTCTATGAAGTGAGAAAGATGCCACTCACCTTGCAGGGTGGTTGTACACAGTGCTTAGCACATAGTAAAGCACTCAGATACTATCTCCCCTCTCCGGCCCCATGTGGGAATGTTTGTGAGAGATGAGGTAATGCCACTGGCAGAGCTGGTCATTAGACATGTTTGTGGCAGTGCCAAATGTTTCCTACTTTAACTGTTGGAATGCTACTCATCTTTTCTTTCCAATCCCTTATCTTCGCCTTCTCAGGGACCCAATTCTCTGTCACTCCACCAAGATTCTTGATTGCAAAATATGAGAGTTCTGGACATCGGGGATGACTGTGAAGCCTTAGCATGCCCCCCTCTGCCATGTCCCTGCTGGTGGTTTCCAGACACGCTCAGTATCCATATGTACCCATAGATGTACACTCACACATCTACATCGCACAAGTTGCAGTGCAGGTCTTCAATGACATGTGCATGTTGGCTGCGGTTGAAGATGGGCAGGGGCCCTGCGTAGCTCTTGTCTCGCACATTGGCATCTGCTGGATCAATGGTGACAGCAGTCAGGTGCACCACGAGGTGGCCGGCAAAGATGGCGCCCATGCACTGGCCCAGCAAGTTAAAGACTCGCTCTATACTCTGTGGCTGGGAGCCCCACCCTGCTTCCAGTGGCCAGAGAACTCCTCCACCTCCATGCCAACTCCATTTGTGCAGAGATTCTCTGCCTGTGCCACCTCTCCAGCCCCCAGGGCCTCCTCAACAGACCTCTTAAGTGGACCCATGTGTCCCAAATGGAAGAGGAGAGGGGTCATCTGGTAACAAAGCCCACAAGCCAGCACTGTCTGTCACCACCACCTAGGGGCTCAACCACAGGGCCCCGGCCTCACTGCCCCCAGGCTTGGTGCAGGCAGTGGCTGGTCTGACCTCAGGCCAATTTCTGGTTTCACATTCCAAATGGTAATGTGAGCCTTAAAGAAATTTCCCCTGAGGTCCAGGGACAAAAGTTTAAGTACTAAGCTGGTTTATCTTGTTTTCATAGAAAGTCAGCTCTGGGAGGGACACAGCCATCCCCTTTCAGCAGTTGGACCAGATGAAGAATCCCTTGCAGACAAGGACTCGTATACTTGCTGCTTCTCCCATCTGGAGTCCAGGCACTTGAAGCTCTGGGCTGAGTATCTGGGATGGCATGACATGTTCAGGGCCTGGCAAAGGGCAGCACAGCTAATTCCTGGAGCTGAAACACAGCTCTTCAGGGCCTATTTGCTCAGTGACTGGTCCAAATGTAGGAGACAAGTATGCTGACAACTTTCTGCAAAGTCTGAATGTGTAAAAATTTACCAATAGATTCCACTCAGGCAGCCATCCATTCTCCTTCCCTTCGCCCATCCTTCCCTCATCCTCCATCCATCCTCTTGCTAGCCAGGCAAACATCATCCCTCCATCATTCATGCTCCACCCATCATCCATCCTCCATCCCTAATCCATCGGTTGTCCAATCTCATTTCCTCCTCCCCCCAGCAGCCAAATTTCTCTACATATGTCTACATGAGCCAGGCTCTGCTCTAACATGCTGCAATACAGCTGAGACAATCCCATGACCATCACTGGCCTCTCTATCCCTATGGTCACTGCTGTGGGTCAAGACTTCACCTCCTGCCTGGGTCACTCCATAGTCTCCTGACTCTGCCCCTCCCGTCTCCTTGAGGCTACCCTTCACATGATTGCACAACTAGCTTCTAACCTAAAGCCCCCTGTTAATACTCTTACTTTCTCTCTGGCTCCTTCCAAAACCTCTCTGGTTATCGCCAGCTACGGTGCCTCACCATTCCAGCCTCTTTTCAGACACACTGAATGAGGGCAAACATTTAGCTTCCTCCCTGTTCCAACACTTCTTCTCCTGCCCCACCTCCCAGTTCATGCATTAAACTGCTTGCTGAGGTCTTTCTGTGGGCCAGGCACCCACTGAGGAATATTGGGCAGAGGCAAGACAGACCTAATCCCTAGACCTGAGAAGACTACAGTCTGATGAAAAACACAGACATTAATCAAATAATGGGTTAACTGCAATGAAGGAAGTTCATGAGACCATGTCACTCTCTACCAAGGTACCTCATCTAGTCTGAAGGGGTCCGAAAGGCTTACCTAAGACAGTATCATCTCAGCTGAGATTTAGAGAGTAACAGATAACAGGGACCTGGCAGGTAAAGAGGAAAGGGGCCTGGCTAGGGACTGTGCTGCTGGGAGCTTGCAGAGTGCCACCCAGAGGTATGGCTGAAATGCCATTCCAGCTTACTGTTGCCATGCAAGAATGAGGTCTCATGTTGCCAAATTCTGGTTTCTCAAGAGGAACCAGAAATCTGGGTTTTTATGTGAGATCTCTCAATGTTTAAATGTTAAGGAAATAATTTTTTTTCTTTTGAGTTGAAGTCTCACTCTGCCGCCCAGGCTGGAGTGCAGTGCAGCCACTGTAGCCTCGATCTCTTGGGCTCAGGTGATCTTTCTGCCTCAGCCTTCCAAGTAGCTGGAACTACAGGTGTGTGCCACCACACTCGGCTAATTTTTCTTGATTTATTATAGAGACGGGGTCACACCAAGTTGCCCAGGCTGGTCTTGAACTCCTTGGTTCAGGCAATCCTGTCACCTTGGCCTCCCAAAGTGCTGGGATTACAGGCATGAGCTGCAGTGACCGGCAAGGAAATAATTTTTTTGGAGGGGAGTGGGATTGGAGTCTTACTCTGTCGCTGGAGTGCAGTGGCATGCTCATGGCCACCCCACCATCGACCTGCTGGGCTCCCGTGATCCTTCCACCTCAGCCTTCCAAGTGGCTGAAACTACAGGCACGTGCTACCACGCCCAGCTAATTTTTTATTTTTACTATAGAGATGAGGTCTTGTCAAGTTGCCGGGGCTAGTCTTGAACCCGTGGGCTCAGGCAATCCACTCACCTCGGCCTCCCAAAGTGCTGGGATTGCAAGCTGAGCCACTGAGCCCGGCCAGAAATAATTTTTAAAACATGCCTATATAAGGAATAAAGATCTGTGCATTTTGTATGTTAATTATTCCTCAATTTTTTTTTTTTTTTGAGTTGGAGTCTCACTCTGTCACCCAGACTGGAGTGCA